TAATAGAGGATACTAACTATATTTACTAAGGAGGTGTTCCCTATAATGGCTCCTGATTTTCTATTCCAACTAATATCTGTGCAAGTTAATTCCCTTAGAAAGTTAATCGCATGGCCGTTTTAATCCAGACCTTTGCACTTAAGCTCAATATTTATAGACTCAGCTAAATTGAAGCCATTTTTTTCTTCGTTCAAAAAAGCTCTTTTCCTTTCAAGCTAACTTTATCATTGCGGCTCTATAATCTGAAGGACGAATATGAATAGAAATCTCATTAGTGCACTTGAGCCGTTTATCGCTTAAACGTGAAAAAGAAAAGCCTTGCTAATATATGATTATTATGCGATTCTTTGGGTATTACCTCTCTCCATATGAATATGGTTAATTTGTAGACATTTTCATGTCAACTTTTATTCACTGAAAAGAACAGGCTGGTTCTAAAATATGCTTTAGATTGCAACAGATCATAATGAAAAATTAACGTTTAAAATCTAAATGTACTTACAACTCGAACAACTCCACTAAGCCCTGGAATTGATCTTCATGAAGCCTCTCAATTTTGTTGTATTCCAATTTCCTGAAAAAGCGCGGTGCAGATGTTAGACTGAAATACACACATGAAGGAATATCTTGAAATCTTCATTTGTCTTAATTATCTTCTGAATTTACTGCAGTACAATTAGATCCCGGGTTTGATATTTGAATATCACAGAAAAAAAGAAAACATCAGAACTACGTGTAACTTTAATGCTCTCAGGCTAGAGAAACTTTAGAGTTTATTGCCAGAAACCTCTGCTTGAGGTCTGGTGTTTAAAGCTGAGTTTGAAAAATAATTAGTAGTCTGTTGCCCATTTTTACAAAATTATTTGGGTTGCTTTAGTATGTAAGTCAACAGATTCTAAGCTTCTGTCACAAAAAATAATTGCAAAACAAAAAAAATTTAGCTGCTTAAAATATACATAGGAAATGTAAATTGTCAGAAACTAGAAAGGTGATTTATTCATTTCTAGTTGTTATTGTAAAATAATGTAAAATAATTTTGGATTTTTCTTAACTCAAAGAGAATCTCACTTACAGAAATCTTACAGCTGCAATGTTTTTAAAGATGTATGGCGGTAGATTTCCAAGTTCATTATTTGACAAATCCCTAAAATATTATAATAACAATAGATACAAATCTATAATCATGAAATAA